TCTCTGCGGATTCGGGCTCCTCTCAGCGAGCGCACTCCAACCCCATCTTCAAAAAAAAAAAAAAAAAATCCTGGGATGTTTTTTGGCTCGTCTGGTTTTGCCGGCCGCCCCCCCCCCGTCTGTCTGGCCTGGTCTGTCTGGGCCGGACGTCGGGTTAACCCAGTATCACACTTCCAAGATCGTGTCCAATGTTTTCCTCGCTTGCAGGACTACAGAGATTCCCTTTGAGTGCTAACATGTCAAAAAAAAAAAAGGAGAGCTCAGGGCAACCAATTTGTGAACAATGCCAATGAAAAAGTGTTACTTCAGGGTGACAGCCCTCCAGTAACGCACATTTCCCCCCGGTTACTCAGAGCGTGACACTACACATATTGGAGGTAAAGGGTATGCGGGAGAAGCAACTGCCAGGCCTAGCTGCAGTATGACACAACCCGACCAGGCAGGCACCCAAGGCACCCAAATGTGGCCCCTTATCACGAAATAACGATCGTATGACAGTAAGTTTTGAGTCGTCAAGACAAATAGAGACACTTTGCACACCCCGACCAGGCAGGCAGGCACCCAAGGTTACTCAGAGCGTGACACTACGCATATTGGAGGTAAAGGGTATGCGGGAGAAGCAACTGCCAGGCCTAGCTGCGCTATGACACAACCTGACCAGGCAGGCACCCAAGGCACCCAAATGTGGCCCCTTTTCACGAAATAACGATCGTATGACAGTATTGAGTCTTTGAGACAATTAAAGACACTTTGCACAAGTTTGCAGCAAAAAAAAAAAAAAAAAAAAAAAAAAGAGACACTTCGCAGTTTTTCGCCACCAATTTACCAAACGACACTATCCTTCCTTCCCTTGGCTTTGTCCCACTCACCTTTGCAACTGCTGTTCCGGATCCCATGGCGATACCGATGTCAGCCTTCTTCAGAGCAGGGGCATCATTCACTCCATCTCCTGTCATTGCAACCTAGTGGTTCACAGCCAGTGGCAAGTCAAGTCCAGCCCGATCATTCTTTTTTCTTTCCTTTTTTTGCGCCAGTGCAGCTCCTTTCCCACCGGCAAGTCATGAATTTACAAAACAACTCACTCACACTTCCTACTTACAAAAAAAAAAATTGAAAAAAAAACTAAAGAAACCTGTAAAACAGCAAGGCAAAAGTGCACTTCCATGAAATTTCGCCAACGTTCCAATTTCAGAGATCTTGAGAAATTGCAAAAATCTCATCAGAGGAAATTCCAATGGCCCAAATGATACCACATTTGGCACACAGCAAGCTTTTAAACCAAAAGAAAAAACAGGGAAAAAAAAAAAAAACACACATAAAATTTGACCGCTAAAGAGCCTAAACCCTAATTTCAGTTTTGGACCAGTTACCCAGGAGCTGAAAGTGGGGGTCATGCGTTCGCATGTTGGCGCCCGCAGCGCACCGCCCATTCAATTTGAACGAGCCGCCTTAGCACGAACTGCAAGCACAACGGGCAAAGCCATCGCCAGCTGGCAAGAGCTCAAGCAATCACAGTGCGCACTGTCGGAGCACCTGACAGTCTGACCCTCCATTGAGTGTCAAATCAGACAGCCTTAAGCCCTACTCGATCCAGGGCAAAATCACCCACTGAGCCTTCCTCTGGTCCACGGTGCAGCCTTCCGCTGATAAGCATAATAGACCTCGCCCTGGTTATACCTCGGGTCAGGCAGTTGAGGCAATAGACACGGAGGCAGATTTCGTCTTGAATTGTTTCATTTGCCTTGGGGGGAAATGTTATGGGATGCTAGCTTGTCCAGGCACAGCCGCCTCGTCACTGTCAAAGGAAAAGAAAATAAAAGAAAAGAAAAGGAAACATGACGCATCCCTGATGTTGATTGTTTATTTAGTCGAAATGGGAAGCAAGCCGCCAGAGGGCTGCCAAGTATTATTGCTATTCTACCATCCTTCTGTACGTTTAGGACTTGAAAATTATTATTATTATTATTTATTTATTGTTTTCTGTCATCATGCCCAAGGCTGATAATACCAATGAAAATATTGAGGCCGGGGTCCTCACAGTCTGCCCGGAGTGACCGAACCAAACTTGCTGAGAACCGGGCTCAGCGTCCCTCATATGGTGATGATGATGATCCTGATGATGATACTAATGATGTTGCTACTAATGATGATGATGATTAGAATTCATAAAAATTGGTTAGTAGACTATACTATATCACCTATTCTGGCCTCCCAAACCTAGAGTAACTCTTATCCTTCCAGTACTTGAAAATTAACTTTACTGAATTTTGCATTTCGCGGTGATGAAATGAGGGGTCGGAGGGTGCGTTAAATTTGAGAAACCCCGCCCCAGCTTCAGAGGGGGCTCATCACCTGACCAATTGGATGAGGCTCATCGAGTAATGGGTCCCCTAATCCTGCACATTCTTTGGCTGGGGTGTTTCGCAGAATGTTTTTGTCATCGTCCTTCGCCGCGTAGCTGCGGCGGGTCCACTTGTGAAAAATTAACTTTACTGCATTTTGCATTTCGCAGTGATGAAACGAGGGGTCGGAGGGTGCGTTAAATTTTAGACACCCCGCCCCAGCTTCAGAGGGGGCTCATCACCTGACCAATTGGATGAGGCTCATCGAGTAATGGGTCCCCTAATCCCGCACATTCTTTCTTTTTTCTCTTCCCCGTGCAACACCTTCACCTTTTCTTTTTCAGACGGGGCCCCGTTCCGAGTGAACCGCACATGGAATCTAACTCGCATCTGTGTTTCGACAGTTTGGGGGGCATTATTCATTTTGGAGATTCACACGATTCGTTTCGTTTCTGGCCCTCTGACACATCCGGCACGCTGTGCCATTCTATCCGACCGTGTCAGACAAAAACTGACGCGTTCTCACTTCTCATTCTCGATCTTTCAATTTTCTGTTTCTTAAGTGTGCTGAGCCAACAGCACGACCACATTCATGCGCACATGATTTCCATCGTCTGAGATGCTCCTAAACTTCTGACAACCCCTGACACTCACTTCTCATTCTATCCGACCTTGACCTTTCAGGACTGTAGCAGCTACGACCTTGACCTTTCAGAACACCTACAGCTATGACCTCTACAGAGCTATGACCCCTACTCAACAGGTCTACAGATCGAACCCCTACAAATACACAGACCTACGACAGACATCAAACAACTACCAAAATACAGGTTGCGGGTTCAACACTCGGGGGTCTACTCGATACTGCACATGGGCGAGGTAAGGTCTGGGGATCGAACTCTGGTGCCCGCATCTGTCACTGCAGATAGGTGAAAACCATTTCAGCACGGATCATCAGCGCCATAGCCCTCTAACTGTTTTTAAAGGGGGTTTAAACGGGTTGAAAGGGGGATAAAGGGGTTTGAAATATTTTCTTTTTTTATTTTCATATAATCTTCCTCGTCTTCAGAAGTGAGAAGCCTCTGGGAAGGCAGGCTGCACATTGCTCACCAATGTGAATGGTTTGTCAGCGGGGATCTTCAGCTGCGTGGTCTGACACTGATGGTAGTGGCCCTTTTTTCATTCTCTNAGAGAATGAAAAAAGGGCCACTACCATCAGTGTCAGACCACGCAGCTGAAGATCCCCGCTGACAAACCATTCACATTGGTGAGCAATGTGCAGCCTGCCTTCCCAGAGGCTTCTCACTTCTGAAGACGAGGAAGATTATATGAAAATAAAAAAAGAAAATATTTCAAACCCCTTTAACCCCCTTTCAACCCGTTTAAACCCCCTTTAAAAACAGTTAGAGGGCTATGGCGCTGATGATCCGTGCTGAAATGGTTTTCACCTATCTGCAGTGACAGATGCGGGCACCAGAGTTCGATCCCCAGACCTTACCTCGCCCATGTGCAGTATCGAGTAGACCCCCGAGTGTTGAACCCGCAACCTGTATTTTGGTAGTTGTTTGATGTCTGTCGTAGGTCTGTGTATTTGTAGGGGTTCGATCTGTAGACCTGTTGAGTAGGGGTCATAGCTCTGTAGAGGTCATAGCTGTAGGTGTTCTGAAAGGTCAAGGTCGTAGCTGCTACAGTCCTGAAAGGTCAAGGTCGTAGCTGCTACAGTACTCGAAAGGCCAAGTCCACGGACTTCCGGAAGGTCCAGAAGTGGCCTCTCGAAGTTGCCTCACGTTTAGTCAGAGGCAAGTGGGCAAGTGGTGAGCCCAACTGCGTTACGTCGGCAGTGCGCCTGCATGAGTTGGCAGTGCAAACCAATGCAGTCAGCGGTACCGGTCCAGCCAGTCCCCAGTCCAGTCAAGCAAGTACCATGAGGGACTGTGTGCACCATGGGCCCGGTGGAAAGGGGCAGACGAACGAGATACAGAAGTATAAATCAAGAGGCAGCGCCCAGCCATCCATTCATTCGCTGTGTAAGCCATGTGGAAGTGCTGCTACAGCGTCTTGTGCGAAGGTGGTCTGCAGGTTGCCCGAAGTCGAAGTGGGCTGAAGAGCGAGATCATAGCCATAGCCAGTAGTGGTAGAGCGGCCATAGCCGCTGTAGGAGGAAGACAGATTTAGTGTGTGTGTGTGGTGGTATTCAGGGTGATCCAGAGTGAGTGTGTGCGAACAGTGGAGTTGGACGCAGTGACGAAGGTTGTGATGTACAGGCCCTGATGCGCCATAGCCTGTTGAAGTAAACTTGCATCTGAACTGTGTTCTCGATTTCCATATCTCTAAGCTTTGAGTGGGCGCCCTGCGTCAGTGTGAATCTCCATCTGTTTGCATGTACGTGAAGTGGAAGTGAAAGCGAGTCTGATTGCAGTGCAATGAATGAATGAAAAAAAGACAGTTTGTTTTAAATGCCCCAAAAACTGAGATCAGACAAGGGGAAGAGTCCCTCACTGATGTCAAAGTGGCATCCCACGTTCCTTTGTTCCACTCTATGCCGTTGCTCCTCTGGAAAAAGCTGCATTGATTCACATAGCCCTTTCTCCTAAGGTGTCCTTTTGCAGCCCCACCATGTTCAGACAGCATGTCAAGACGCCATGCCACATGCTCTCAGGAAAAAGCCCATTGATCATCTCACATTCTCGTGAGTAATGACTTTCTTGAATAGTTGTTTCCTCTCAGTGCTCTGACTTCCGTGTGGTTTTGCATTAACGATGACTCCACAGTCGTCCTTTTTTTGTTCGGGTGTCATCCTTTCACAAGGACCATGCTCATCTCTTCCATATCTAGAGGCGGGAAAAGGAAGAAAATATCTCTCATCAGCCTCCTCTGATACTCTTTTCCACGTATAGCCTGAGGAGGAGGGGAAGAAACAAAGGAGAAAAAAGAGAGGGAACGTTGGGAAGTAATCCAGAAAACAACAGGACATTGCAAAACCAATAGCTTCCCTCCCGCACATCCCCCAACAAAATGAAAAAAGAATGGAGAGAAGACCACTGCTAAACTCTCTGCCACTTTCCCTCTTCGCGCGGCCCCCCAGGAAACAAAGACACAAGAATCATCCTCCACACGAGCTATGAATGCTGTACAGGGGGTCTTTCGGCCTCAATGGAAGGCGGCGTTGAGTACAGGTGTATTGTAATTGTATTGTGTCTGACCTGCCGGTCAGCAAGGAACCGAACTGATGCTCCCCAGAGTAGAATGGAGCTAGTAGCCTAAGGTCCTGTTATTAAACCTCTTTCAAAAAGTCCGCAGTGTAACACTGTTCCATATGGATGATGAAGCGCACATTTGCAAAGAGAGAGCTCTGAAGAAGACTCACCACTTCATCCTGCATTTTCAAGGCCTCCACGAGCATGCTCTTGTGGGAAGGCTCTACCCTGCAAATCGATGGTCAACATGACGACTGCTGGAGGAATGAGAAGGGAGGACATGAACCCTAAGATCACACAGCAACAAGGCAATGAAGGCACAAGCATATCAAGACAGTGTAGACAATGCAAGAACTCATAACTTGAAAAACATGAAACAAACTCGTCGAAACTGACCACACAGACATTAAGTGGCGCACTGGACCATATCATCACAATTGGTAGTTTCCGTGCGTCTGGCGTATGGCCTCTGAGGATCGATAGAGACGCTTCGTCTAGCGAGCCTGCTGATTTACTCTATCCACTCGAGTGGCCTTTCTGCCGTACTGGAGGAGCTGATAAGAAACCCGAGAAAAGCCGGCCCGTGGGAGCCTTTAGCTCGTCGAGTTATGAGCATCTTTGAAAAGAAGGGCCGAAGGCTAAGCCTTACTTCGATAAATCGTGCCACTAGACTTCGTATTCTATCGGCTAGTGCTCTAGGTCCGATGACTCCAATCAGGAAGTCGTCCGCATAGCGAACATAGTGAATCCTTCTAAAATGACTCTGGCGAGCCGACGAACGCGAGGGCCGAAGGCGCGTCTTGAAGGCTGCTCTCCGATCGCCGCCGGATCTTCGCAGTAGAATTGTCCTGGAAAAACCATCTGCAGTGTTCATACTTGCTGAAATCACACGATGTAATCACGAGCCCAGATCATGGGCTTCTCTCTCTCTCTCTCTCACACACACACACACACACACACACACGCCCACACACACACACACACGCCCACACACACACACACACACACACACACACACACACACACACACACACACATGCAATGACTTGCTGATTTCGACTGCCGAGACTGACTGCGAGGCTGTACCATAACAGCGGTAGGTTAGATTTGTTTGGCTGAGGGCACCGAGAGACCTACCTGTACGGGAAATTCACGAGGGACATATCTGCAAATATGGGAAATATAGGCCCAGCACTAACCCGAATTTCCTACAGCTATCCGCACTGCGTATAGCAGACCCGGGCTACCCCTAGGACGGACAGGCCCAAAGGGCCTATACCAATAGGCGGTCCTATAGCCTATAGCCGGGTAGGTGGAGGCCGAGAGGCCGAAACTGGAACGGTACCGGTCGGTCCAGTCAGTCAGGTTTAGGCCTAGGTTAGAGGCCTAGGTTAGAGTAGTCTAGAGCTATTAATAGTTTAGGGAAATCGGTTCAGGACTTTTGGCTGTTCCTTCTTGCGAAGCAGCGTTTGGAGAAGCCAAGCAAGTTGGCGGTGGCAATTGTCTGCAGGCGGCATCCTGAGACCCTTGCCTAGGACGGCAGCCATAGCCGGCCTTCTGCAGGCTGTCAGAGCTGGGACATCCTCAGCGCATCTACCCCTGAGGGTATCTGCGTTTGGTCAGGCTATATCGAGGCTCTCCAATGAGTGTCCGTGGGTGGCGGCAGCCATAGCTGCCTGTTTCTTCGTCAGAGTTGTTCAGCGGCACTGAAGACTTCATCGCCGGATCTGTTCTCCATCTGTGTGGTTGGCGCTGGCCTCTGGGAGGCTGTTTCGGTTGTGCGCTACTAACTGGGTGTAGGGTAGAGAGTGGAGTGTGGGGTTCTGAGTGTGGCGAGATACTGGAACAAACTCTGTAACGATATATGGTTTAATTGGCTCTTCATCAGTGTGAATTCCAATTGTTATCCTCACAGGTTCTTCTTGTGATTGGTTGTTGGGAGTTTGTCAGAGAGTGAGAATCACGCAGTGTCTTCTCCCCATCTGTGCATGGCTGAACTTCCGCTACATACTCTGATCTGTGTACAGTTGGACTCTGTCTCCTCTCCCCCTTCTCTTATGCATGTATGGGCGTGTATGAGACTGTCTGTGTGTGAGTGGCGGTAACAATCGTCAGACAACCAAGTTCATAACACACACACACACACACACACACACACACAGACACACACACACACCACATCCCCCCCCCTTTCCTCCCTCCCTCTGCCTCCCCCCCTTCCTCCCATCGTCTGGGCGCCCCCCTCCCCCCCCCCCTCCTCCCTCCCTCTCCCTCCCCACCTTCCTCCCACCCCCCTTCCCTACCAGACAAAGGTGTGACTGGTGAATGGTAATACGACTAGGTTATGCCCTCCTCTATTCCCTTTTCGCAAGCTCGTATTTATTATATGTTTCCTTGCACAAGACTTCACAAAAGACACATTGTGTTAATTTCCTCATGCCATGGCGTTTGTTTCACTTGCCTTGATGCGTGCCTTGAGCAGTGAGTTCAATTCACATGCCACTTGGACTTTGCTAGGTTTCCTTTTCCCCCCAGTTTCATCGTTCCAACCCTGTGCAGTTTTCATGCATTTGACCCTTTACATATTTTCTACATGTGCACTCTTCGGACTCGCACTTGACAAGTTTGACCTGTACGTGTGCTCTTCCTGCACATTCATCGTCAAATTGCTGCCCATGCCATTTGCCTATGATGAGAGGCGCTTGCAACAAGTGGACCAATTGGCACCATCAAATGCCTTGTTCCTAACATGGACCCAAAGTCCCATTGCAGGTTTCAGCCAATAATCGGGCAAGGTGCACCCTTGCTATGTCCAGTCTACGACAGCACGAAACAGGCCAATAGTACGGCCCTCATATCACCCCTCCTAACAGCTAGACTGGGTTGCACACACACACAAAAAAGCTAATGCTTACCAAGCATGAACATAACACCAGCGAGGCCACGTACTTTCCAGGATCTCATGGATACGAGACTGACCGGGCCGTGGCATTGTAAATAAGAAAGAGGTGGCTTTCAGAGCTGACAGATCTCATGATTCTCATGCCAAGAAACAAATGTGAAGGCAACTCCGGCCTTTCTTCACCATAAAAAGTGTCTTCTTTGCATCTTCTTGCACAAATGGCTCAGAGAGACCAATCGCATGCAAACAATCATACGACTGAAGCTTTCAAACAGAAGGTGATCAGATAAATGACACGATCTCTTCCTTCGACCATCCCCGATCATTACATCACAGGGCAATTGGCGTTCATAGATCCTTCCCAGGACCACAAACAAGATGCTGAAAAGTAGCTCTCATGGAATTCACACACACTGCACACACACACATACACGCACACACACACACGCGCGCGCACACACACACACACACACACCCACACACACACACACACCCACACACCCACACACACACACACACACACGCACACACACACAATTAGTTTTCCTTGCACACACACACACACACACACACACACAATCAGTTTTCCTTGTACACACACACACACACACTGCACTCGCACAATCAGTTTTAGGTATGATTGTTTTTGTCTAAGTGCTTTTTGTGTCTAGGTGCTTTTTGTGTCTCTAGCCGAGCACCCTATTTTTGTCTAAGTGCTTTTTGTGTCTCTAGCCGAGCACCCTCTAGCAGTGCCAAACAGTCGGTGGTTCCTCGTTTGGAGTGCCAACTACACTCTTAGGGGGCCGCTCGGTTCGGGATGTCTGTATTGCCTGTCGGTGATGACGGATGGTCGTCGGAGTGTCCCCCTGGCTCAGCGGGTGGTGGGAACCAACAGTCTGCGGTGTTCACCCGTGATGTGGGTAGGTCATGTGTTGCTTGGCTCTGTGTTGGATGTGTAGGGTGCCTTGTGCTGTCTGCATTCCACCATTGTCTTGCTGCCCATCCCTCTTGCTTTGCGTGTTGTCCAATCTCGGCTGCTGTGTTCACTTTGTGGCTTGGATGTATAGCTGGCGGTGCCTTATGCGTCGTTACACTGCCTCCAGGTTGCCCATTCGGGTGCCTGGCCGTTTGGGTTCCTTTTGTTTGTGGTGGGTTGGATGGTTGTCGTTTGGGTGTGGCCTTGTGCTTCGCCACTCGGGTGCCATGCTGCATGTCTACTTGCGGCTGTTTTTGGTGGTGGGCAGTTGTGTTGCCTCGCGTGTGTTGCCTGGTGCTTCACAACGGCGTAGCTCGCTGCTGTTGTATTCCGTTTTTGGGTCCTTTCGTTTGTGGCGTGTCGGATGGTTGTCGTTTGGGTGTGGGCTTGTGCCCCCCCCAAGAAAACGGGTGCCATGCTTCATCTCCACTGACGTTGTCTTCCGCTTGCAGCCGTCTTTGGTGTTGTGCAGTTCACTGGCGTTGAGTGTGTTGCCCGGTGCTTCACAACAGCGTCATCCGCTGCTGCTGTGTTCCGTTTGTGGGCAACCTGCCTTCAACAGGAGTCAAAGGTTTCATGACCTAACGCATCCAAAACCGGGGATGCCGCAGATTGTCGAGGGTTCAGCCTCCTGATGAGTCGGTGCAATTCCGACAAAACAATCTATCATCATCAGTTTTTTTTTTTTTATTATTATTATTTTTTTTTTTTTGGTCTTTGTTTCTTGCCTTGTGCTGTTTGTTTGCCCACCCTCCTCCCCTCTACCCTCCAGCCTGTCCTTTGCTGTTTTCTATTCTTCTGACCGCTTTGCTGTTTTTCGATACTTGTACTTATGCCCTCCCGCCTCCCCCATGCGTTTCAGCCTATGTGTTGCCTCAGTGCTTGTTCCTCCTCTCATGCCTCTAAGTTCATGTGCCTCCCCCATGCATTTCACCCTATGTGCTGCCTCGCTGTTTGCTCCTCCTCTTGTGCCTCTGTGTCGTGTTGTGGTTTGTCATGCTATGGTGTTGGTTCCCTGCCCTTTGCCGTGCTGTCCTTTGCCTTCCCCCCTCCCTCCGTTTGTGTGTGGGCTATTATTGTGTGTGTTCTGGTCTGTCTGAGAAAGAGAAGGCGCCACCCACCCCCCTCATTTTGTCTTACTGCCTTCGCATATTTGGCTGCTTTCGACTTTAAGGCCCTGTAAATAAGTATCCTCACCACAAATGGACACATGAGTGGTTATACCCCGCCGCGTTGGAAGATCGCCTCCCGTGTCTTGCTTTTTGCTCACAGTGTGCCGACGCTTTTTAGTCGGAGTAGCACGAGCATGACATGTCGTGCTCGTGCGAAACGCATGTGACACACACATGCTACACACACACACACACACACACACACACACACACACATTGCTAAGCACGGAAGAAGAAGCAAAATGCTTAAAAGGAAACAGCAGCTGCCCACTTGCCTTGAAAAGACTGCAAGGTTCTTGACTGCAAGGGCCTTCTTGTGGCCTGGAAGCTCATCAAACTCTGAAGCAGTTAAAGAACTTGCCTCTGAATGGGAGTACCGGTCCAAAACCCCAACTATCCGGCAAATAGATTCGGCCGTAGCCTTCAACCGAATCGCGACAAAGGAAACACACACATAATGCATGCAATGGGCATTACTCAAAGACGTCAGAAGAGTACTGCAAGAAAACGAGTGAAACCCGTATGTCCTTAGCCTTGTTACGAACCCTCCAGTTTCAAACTTTCAGCAGAATTAACTCTGATTTACTGGCAAACATGTATGCATGTGTAGCACGGCATCCCGTTCAGTCTAAAAACAGCCCACGTAACCTCTTTTGCATGCAGCAGACCAGTGTATTGTGCTGGGCCTCTGACACAACATGATCCATTTTCACACAGTCTATGAGTCAACGAAAAGTCAGAGACAGAGAGCAAAATATGCATTGTGAAGCTCCACATCATGAACTCAGACAACATCCCGTCAGAAAATTAGTATTAGTAATTATTGATTACTTATCATCATCATACTTGCCGCGCGCTTCTGCGGTGTGCGTGCGCCATGCGCCATGCGCAAATTAGTGATGCGCTCATTTTTTATTTTTTTT